AAATATGGTGTCCATGTACAGTCATTTTTTTAAAGGTTTGCACTTGGTAGTATTGTGTGATAAAATTGTGTTTTGGTCTTCTCTAATGGAACCTCTTCTCACACAACCTTAAGCTTAATAACCTAGTTTGGACTGTAGATAAATCAATAGTGTTGCACATATGCCCATACGTATCTGCCACAGGTTTTTCAGCTTGTCTATCTTATATGGCCCCAATTACCATAATACTTGAGTTTGTCAAATCTGTAATGTACTTATCCTCACAATACTCCCAGGAAATTGGGAAGTGCTATTATCCTCATTTTACAGATGGGCAACCAAGACACAGGAAAGAGATTAAGCAACTTGCCCAAGGTCTTACAAGAAGTCTGTGATAGTGCTAGGTATTGAACCCAGGTCTTCAGCTGAACCATCCTTCCTCTCCCTTGTCTACATGACCTTTCTAGATAGCATCTCCATTGCTGTTTCACAGAAAGGAATGGAGAGTTTCCCTCCATTGGTATTAAGTCCCCTGCAATGCAAAGTCAGTATTTGAATCCAAGGCATTATTGCATTTACTTGAAATCACTCCCAGATTTTCTTTCTTCACCCATGACTGTATAGATCAGTGGTTCTCAACCAGGGTTATGTGTGCCCCTGGGGGTACACAGAGGTTTCCAGGGGGTAAATCAATTCATCTCGATATTTGCTTAGTTTTACAACAGGGTACATAAAAAAGCACTAGCAAAGTGAGTACAAACTAAAATTTCATACAGGCAAAATGAGAACGTAAGCAATTTTTCAGTAATAGTGTGTTGTGACACTTGTATTTTTATGTCTGATTTTGTAAGCAAGTGGGTTTTAAGTGAGGTGTAACTTAGGGGTACACAAGACAAATCTGACTTCTAGAAGGGGTATAGTAGTCTGGAAAAATTGAGACCCACTGGTATAGATTACTTGGATTAGAGAATTAAGCAGGCATCTATGGAACCACCCGCTGGACATTCTTTAATTTTCTGCTAGTTTTCAAAGAGGATGTGATATCTTAAAGTTGCTACAGTGCTTTCCATGGATTGAGAGTGGGCCACTGATGCTTTTCAATTGTATCAGTGTCTTTTCTGAAAATTGGCAAAAAAATGACATAATTGAATTTTGCCCGGTTTCTGAGCATTCACATGATTTATGGGAAATACAGGTAGCCTGGGAATGTACATATTTTTATATAAGCTGGAAATAGAGCTACAAATGGTCTTGGTTGAAGAGATTTAACTCCTCCAGTAACTGAACCTGTGACTTGCCAGTTTCAAATGTGGTACTGGACTGCCAGTGGAGCTGCCTTTATTGTCACAAACAAGGTATCCTGCTCTGTAGCTATCACCGCTATGGCACTTTTTATCACAGTCATTCACCTGATGAACAAAGGCACGAATGCTGACATCACTGGTGATGTGGTTCCATAACATGACTCAGTGTCTCAGACTAACAGCCTCAGCTGACTCTTTGGAGGGACAGGTTTCAGAGGAACAGCCGTGTTAGTCTGTATTCGCAAAAAGAAAAGGAGTACTTGTGGCACCTTAGAGCAGTGAGCTGTAGCTCACGAAAGCTCATGCTCAAATAAATTGGTTAGTCTCTAAGGTGCCACAAGTACTCCTTTTCTTTTTGGAGGGACAGTGTACTCCAAGTGACACTGACTAGGGGAGCAATACCAGGACCCAAGTCAATAGCCTGCTACTGCAGTTCAGGGGAAAGATTTTTGGAGATAAGGAAAAAAAGCAAATGAGTAAAGCGGTAGCCATGCATGCTACATGGCACTCAATGCTAAAATGACATCACAGAACTTGCAGAGAAAGGAAAACAGCAGCATTGCCATCTATGAGTGACACTATGACCAGAACCAATGGAACCATCATCCAGTGCTATATTGAGGGGGAGGGACATTATAAGTGAGGGAAAAGGCAATTTTGGATGTTCTGAGCATAAGACTTAAGAGCCAGCAATTCCTGAGTCCTAATCCCTGTTCTGCTTTTGACATCCTGTGTGGCCTTGGGTAGACATTTGATTTGCTCTGCCTCAATTTCCTATCTGTAAAATGGAGATAATACCTGCCTTACCGACCACACAGGGATATTATTTAAGGAAGTATCAGAGGGGTAGCCGTGTTAGTCTGGATCTGTAAAAGCGGCACAGAGTCCTGTGGCACCTGATAGACTAACAGACATATTGGAGCATAAGCTTTTGTGGGTGAATACCCACTTCTTCAGATGCATTTAAGGAGGGTTATTTAATTAATGGCTGTAAAGTTCGTTGCAAATGGAAACACCATGTAAGTACTAAGCGTTATTTAATCTTGTGACCAAACATGGTCTCCAATCTTTTTTAAGCAGAACATTAGTTTTTGTAGGGGGCTCAGTCACACACATGAACTCTCACCTTCACTTAAGTCTTCAGGAACCATACACTGCCTCTTTAAGAAATAGTTTACTTCTGAACCAGTAAATTCACTACACAAAGCAGCCATTATTTATGCATTCCTGCATATATGGCAAGGTGAAAATAATAGAATAAACATCATATCCTTCATTATGATATCGGTTTACACTTCCAGGGTACACAAAAAGAGGCCATTTCATCAAGCTAATTGCCTGAAAGTAAAAGAGAGAGAACTTTAGCTATTAGTCTATTATGGGGCTTTTTTCTTAATCACAAATAGGGGCCGTGTTTCCCTAGGGGGATGTGTATTCTAATTTACAATTGAACTACAGATCAGAGCAATCAATCTTGTGCAGCACTTTTACAGTGTAATTGCTGCAACATAACAAATAAAAAAAAAAAGCAGCGTAAGCTGAGTTTTTCAGCTTGAGGTGGAGATATTTACCAGGCATTGGTTCATGGTGGGAGGGAAAGAGAGAGAGAGAGATGCCACAGCCATGAATATGCAATGAGGACTCATTAGTGCCCCAGTGTTGCCATGACGAATGGCATTATCCCCAGACTGGTGTAGCCTAAACATGAATTTTATAACGACCCATTTATCATGACTTGCCACATTTTTTTTTTACTGTACTTTCCACCGGCTTGCACACCTTTCACCATTATTACTTTAGAATCCCTTTCTTTTGCTATTATTTTATTTGGGATTGAGTCCCGTCTCCTAAAGAGAAAGTGCTTACAAACATGAACAAGCCAGTGGGGGCTTAAGATTAACTAGTAGCTTCCAAAGTTGAAGAACCCGTGCAAAATATGTAGGTGGTCTCTGTCCACTTCCTAGTGGACAAGTGTCCTTATTGTCATGAATATCAGCACAGGTTAGACAATCTTGTCAGTTGGCTCTGCAGAGCGATCCAGTATTGAATGAGCAGGGAGACAAATATCTTCTCATTCTGTTGGGTGTGACGCATTGATCTGTTTGGTTGCTCTGAGCATCAACTAAAAATGTTCCTCCTCAACCCGCTCCACCTGTGTGCACGGTATAAAAATCTGGACCTCATCTGTAGGATGACTAGGCACTAAATCTGGCAAACAGATAAAACTTCTGGTGTATGCAGGTATGCACTGGACACAGTGGCCATGTAATGACAATACCATCCAATGACCTAGAGCAAGATACATGAGTGAAAACTACAGAAAAAAAGTATGTTTAAAAATTAAAAGCAACCTGTGCTCTTCTCCCACGGCCTCCCTTCTCTCTTTTGACTGTTGCCCACATTTTACTATTGTCTCACACTTTGGCCCAGCTAACCTATAGTTAATACATTACTGCCTAAAAAGAAATCAGTGTAAATCAGAAGCTTGCACTGTTACTGCCTGGGCTGTATATGTTCAGCGGTACATAAAGGTCTTCATTCTCCAGAGATGTGAATCTGGCACTTTCATGGGCATTAACATTCACTCTTTTTTAAAGTTGAGAAGTGTATGATTATTATTATCCCAAATGTTTTCATTGCTAGGATGCATTTTTTTCTCTACAGTGTCTCTGAACTTTCACACAAGGTTTCGGGGATATCTACCAGCATCAAATCTATCTTTGTTGGGTTTTATAATCTTGCTATTTTACAAGGGTTACAATAACAAAGCAAATTATTTCACTTATTTCTGGGATGAAAGTTCATTTTCTCAAACAAGTTGTGGTTTTCCATGGTATCTGAAAACAACACTCCTGAAATTTTATGGTGGGATAGTCCAAGGGACACAGGTTCTTTTGTCATAACTCTACAAGATATCTGAAAATGTTAAAAGTCATTGAATATACCAGTCCAGAAATTTTTAGACTCAGAGATTGGGGATCTAGTTGTCAAAGCCCCTATTCCTTCTGAAAAATCCAACTTTGTTGTCATGACACCCACGTGCTTCACTAAAACTTTAGTTTGTCAAGGCACAGTCCATTATCCAAAGATGCATTACAGGTTTCCATCTAGCATTCAACAGTCTAGGATCTGGGTGTGAGAAAGTGACAGGAATGGAAAGCTCACCTTTGAAAAGGTATGTTAGACATGTGGCACTCCCTGATATGTTAGACATGTCTCACGGTTAACTTGTGCTCCCCTAGTCTGTTTCCTGTATCCACCTGTGGCCCTTCATCATATAGACATATATTGTAAGCTTTTTACCGCAGGGACTATATTTTCTCTATGTGTGCACAGTGCCTACCACAATGGGACCCCAGACCTTGACTGAGAGCCCTAGGTCCTACCATAATGCAAATGACAATGGTGATAATGACTGCATTAGCTTAGCTTAAAGAGACTCAACAAAGAGCAAGGAGAACTTAAAACAATTTTTTAATTAAAAAACAAAACAAAAACCAAACCAAAAGCAAACCCACAAATGAAGTTTAGTATTGTAAAAGGTGCTCATGAACATAACAGGATTTGAGACAGCAGAAGAGAACATTTTAATGTTACTGTATTTTGGTTGTATTACGGATGCATTTTCAGTTTTTGTCATAGGTGTCCAAGTAGGCTTTTGCAAGTCTAAATATTACCAATTATTTACTCAGTGTCAGTGTTGATGGTACTTTACAGGTACAAAACAAGACAAAGGCTCTAGCACCTGGAAGCTTTATGATATTAAAAAGCAGATAATTCGGTGAATATCAGCAACTGACTATTGCTTGGTCTGGATCATCTATTGGGCAGCTAAGAGGAGAGAACATTGTTTTAAAAGGTGGGGAAGGAATACAATATATCCTAATATGTTTTTTTCCTACATTTATTGTTTGGTTCTTTCTTCTTTTTTTAAAACTGATCATAATTATATTTAATAATCATGATCCATCACCAAGGTGGTGGTGGGTATCTCTGGAGTGGAGATTAATATTGGAAAGGTTTGTTACTGCTTTTAGGACCAATACAGCCATATTATTAACCTATTGCTGGATCTCTCCACAGCATTTGCTATGATCAATTGTAGAACCCTGCTGCCCTGTTCCAGAGGTGTGGCAGAGCAAGTCCCTGCTGAGATGGTTTTAATCATTCCTCATAGACTACACTCAGAGAGTTGTGATGGGCACCTGCTGTTTCACTTTTGTAGCCCTCACTCGCAGAGTCCCTCAAGAATTCAGCCTTTCTCTCTCCTTCTGCTCATCGTCTGTATGAGGACAGATTTTGGAACATCATGGACTAAAAGGCCAGCTCTGTGCAGATAATACCTAGCTCTATGTCACCTTAACGTCACACACAGACAGCACCGTCTCTCCAGGCTGAGGTGAGCAACCATCTGGAAGAGCAGGTGGGTGAAGATGGATCCAGAAAAGCCTGAAATGAGGCTTGCAGTGAGAGGGAAGTGTTTAGAAGAACTTGCCACCTCTGGAACATTACCTTTCAATGAGTGTTCACCCTCAGATCATTAGGACTTACACAGACTCACTATTTCTAGATCCCCAAATAGCTGCAGCTGAGAAAAGTGCCCCTTTCCATCTAGGGCCGCCGAATCTGACTCCTGTCAATTTTGGACTTAGCCCCAGGGACCTATGTATTTGTGACTTCCAGGCATCATTATTGTAAATCTTTGTACCTAAAAATGAAACCATTCTTCTCAGTGGTTCTGAACACAGCAGCCTTTCTGACTGGCAACACAAGAGAACCCATCACCCCAGTGCTCCACTCTCTATAGTGGTTCCATGGGGAATACTGGGTCAAATTCAAGGCTTTGGTCTTCATCTTCAAAGATCCCTATGGAACCAGCCCAAGCTGCCTCATTACCCTACAAGATCATGACCTCCCACAACAGTTATGTTCCACTGGGACCATGGAGCTGTCAGCCTCAAGAGTGAAACTTGTTCTGGTAGGAAAAAGAGGTTTTTGAGTGACTGGCCTGCAGATCTGGAACTCGCTCCCAGAAGAGATAAGGATGACTGTGAACCTCAGAGTTTTCAGCCCAAAATGCAAAATGAATTCTTCAGTCTATCTACCCATACTTGACACTATGCATACCAACATACGTGTCCAGTCCCTTTTGATGGGGGAAGTAGGAGACAGAAAGAAAGGGATGTATTTTTGTGTATATACTTAACTATTTTGGGTAGGAGGCATTTAGATATCCTACTGATGGCTACCATATAAGAAATTAGAAAGACAGATAAAGCCAATTTTAAAAAAAAATCTTAGTTTAGAAGCTAGCTACCTATTTTTTTCTGTTTCAGGTTCACATCTGTGGGTAGCCAAATATTTTACTGCAAATGCTGCAATATTTGCTAATTTTAATGCTTCTTTTGAAAAGGGGTATAATTATTATTGCAAACTGTTCACCAGCACTTATCTGATCTGGAAATGGCAATCATTAAATAAAATAAAATAATTATGTTCTTTAATCTTTTTGAAGTGCCAGTTCTAAAAATCAGTGTATGTATATATATATATATATATATATATATATTTTCAAGTCAATCCTCTAACTTTATAATAAGAATACTCAAATTTGAGGAGAAGGAGAATAAAACTTTCTTTGTTCTGTGAATATTAGCTTCCAGCAAACTGTCAGTCTATGCGCTTGTCTCAAACAGGACTTGGGAAATATGAGTGGGATTTTTTTTTAAATGCACAGTATTGACCTAACTCTATGCCCATGGAAATCAGTGGAGTTTTATTATTGATTTCAATGGGAACAGTATTAGGCCAAAGCTGAGCACATTCAAAAATTCCACCCCAAAAGTATATCTTAATAAAATTATGTGCAGCTCTAACTCCCACCTGCCACAAAACCCTGAAATCAAATAAATGAACATTAAAAATAAACAAATTAGTGATTCATTTACATACATCGGCAAATAGGATCTGAGTTTTAAAAAAAAGTGAAAATCAGAGTAAAAATAATTTTATGGCTATATATAATGGTGTTCAATACTCACTGTCTATATTTATTAAAAAGAGAAAAAAATTAAAAGAAGAGAATTTTCTATGCATAAAAATAATCTGAAATTTTAAGACTTACAAAAGAATTATTCACAGAGAACAAGTGTGAATTCAGGGTTAAGTAACACTTGGCTATTTAAGCACCTTCACAAAAAAGAAAACCTTTTTGTACTTGTAAAACATGCCAGACTTTCAGTGGAAATCTCTGATTTAGATATCATTGATGTTTCATTTTATATACAGATCTATCTCCGCTTTTAAAAATGCTTCACAAACAGCTTAGCATTTTTCACAGTTGTTCACCCGCACCCCAAACTCAATGCCCACCAGTCAGATTGGTAATTTTAATCAACGAATTATCTTCTCCTCTTGATGCAGTTTGGTTGTATTTTAAATCCCCCCCAATCCCCTCCCCCCCCACACACCTTTTCCCTATTTGAAACCAATCACATGTTTATTCCCACTTCAAAAACAAACAATTCCCTCCCTCTTGCCCCCACTTTTTAAATGACATCTTCAGTCATTCATGAGTTAATAAAATCTCCAAGTCATCTGGGGATAGATAAGGAGAAAGAAAGAAGAGTATTGTACACATAATGACAGGCTCCCTGCTGCCCCTAAGATGTCACAGGTCAGCCATGTTAAGAATGTGTGCGCCCAATCATCTGCTGATTTTTATCAGCAAGGCCTCAAGCAGAATCTGACACGGGCCAGTTTGGGAGTTACAATGAATAAACAATGACTTCTTGGATTGTTGGCGGCTGTGTGATAGAGTGAGGGGGTTTATATATACTAAAACATGATGACATTAGCAATCAATACACCCATTACTGGACAAGTTATTGGACGAAGAATGCACGTCTCAAGCTTTGTGCACTTTGAACATATGACCAACAGTGGAAATCCACGGTAATAATGTTACTTAACCCCTCATGGGACTGATATGCTAAATCTTATGTTGCCTGGAAGTATCTGAGACCATGTGATAAAGGAAAGCTTGATCTGGTCTAGAATGTTAAAAAAGAAACAATCAAACAAAAAACCCCACTGTTGGAAGGTTATCATTTTCTATTGTGTTCCAAAGGACTTTTCTATAAAAGGGAAAGGAAAACAGATGCATAAATGTATTTTTTGTGTGTGTTACTTTGCTATTATAGAAACATCTCCTCTTCCTCTCAGTCCCGTCCGTGTCATCATTCTGCTGGATGCTTTTGTGAAGTCAGAATATCCTGTGTTTATGGGTTGTCCTCTGTTAGTACGGAAGTGGTTGCGAAGATGCAAAATTGGTGTTACAATTCATGCCGAATCAAATAGAGTAAAAATGAGTGTCTGTGAAAGATCCACTAGTTATTTAAAGCAGAGATATCCTTGGGGCTTCACCATGCAAGTTGCACAGAGCTCTGTGGTGGTTATGGTGGTGGGGGTGGTGTGCTGCAGAGGTTTACTCCCTCTTGGGGAGCAAGGAAAAGCACAATCCCTCCTGAGGCTGCTTGGTGCACCCTTGGTGTGTTATCCGTTAGGAGGGAACTGATAGCTCTGCACTGGCCCTTCCTGTGGGCTGATGATGAGCAGGGACAGAGTTATGGTCCCACCTCTTTCCTGGTGTTTTGCTTCCCCAGAGGCAGTGAAGACAGAGAGGCTCATGCTTGCAGTGTCTGCTATTGTGCTTGGCCCTTGGACAGACCATGTGAGCGGGTGTGGGAGGGAAGAGTGGGTGTGGCCTTCCCTATTTTCTGTGCATCCTCATAAAGGAAGATCTCTAACTAGCCCCTGATAATTAACTCAGGGCCTGCACGCTTTAAAATCATTGATAAACCACCTTACGATCTGCAAAGAGACTAACAGGGCATAAGGAACTCCTTGACTGCTGGATGAGGGAGGGAAAACAGCTGCTTCAAGGCCACTGCTTCGCCTCCTGCACTAGTGAGTGGAGAGTGGGCAGGGAAAGACATGGATGGAGACTTGGCTTTGTCCCTCCATGTGCCAACCCATGCAGCTGAGCTGGTGCTGAAGGGGGAAGTAAACTGCTTCGAGGGCTGGCAGTTTACTTCTCCCCTGGATCAAGGGGGAAGCAGGTATTAGGAGCTGCATGTTAAGACGTATCACTGTTATAGAGCTCTCTCGTAAGAGCAGGGACCAAAGTGTGACTCAGGCCCAGATCCTCAAAGGTATTTAGGCACCTAACTCCCATTGAAATCAGTTGAGAGTTAGGTACCTTACTACCTAGGACGAGCTGAGGCTTTGAGTCACACTGGTCTAACCCACTCAGGGTTTGTGGTAACGTCATAATCTGGCCTTTAGAGTTCTGTTTTTGGCTTTGGTGGGAGAGGGATCTGGCCCAAACACAGTGAGAAAAATAACGAAAACCCATTTCCTTTTAGCTAAAATATTTTTAAAGCTTTTAGTGGGTACATTTGAATGTTCTCCCCTACCTGGGAAGAAAGTTCTTCAAAAGTCTGAAGGTGAATTTGACTAGCATATTCCTGAACTACACCGCTTCTAAATGGAAATGCTTCATAAAATGGCACTGTTACCTTACATTACAGTAAGTACTGTTTTGTCATGTTTATTTTAAACCCTCAATAAGCCTCCCTCTGTAATTTACAATTAACTTTTTGCCTCAAGGTAACAGCTACATTCACAAAAATAATGGTAATAGACTGACCTTGTTATGAATGGATAACAAGCTGGAAACAATATACTTTGTCACACAGCATTAACTGTTACTGCTGAAATTGTAAATAATGTGTATAGAACCTACATGTAAGTGGCTCCCCTTAAACATATTGTGTCAATTAAACACTTGATACGTAATGTATTATTATGAAATCCATTTAAGTCCACGTAGTCTGAGATTACACTCACAGGCAGCGTTCACCTCTGGGCTGTCCAAAAAAATTGCAAAGATGGTCTTACATGTTCAGTGGTGCATTTCTACAGCTACATTGTGAGGCTGGCTGTGGAATCTGGTCCTGAATGATTACAAGCTACATGGCCACTGCTGTTATTTGGACTGGTTAATTTTCTTTTTACCTGTCATTATTACACATAGTACTACAATGTTCTATATTAATGGCTTGAAACACGTTGGGCCCTGTTTTCTGATGCTTTGGGGCTGTTCTCTGCTGATCAAAATCAGTCTTAAACCAAGATTAGCTGGCCACTGGAGGGTTACCCCTAGGATCTCTGGGAGATATAAGACACCATAGTGGCTCTCATTCCATTCCTCCCTCCCAATCACTGGTGTACAGGGTATGGCTCAGAAAAAGGGGGCATATCTAGGTTTTCTTGACACCTGGCTGATCCCTCACTGCCCTTTGGGACTATTTGCTTATGCTTGGAGGAGTACAAAGTGCTTTGGAGTCACTGTCCTGCTCTCCCACCTGCAATGAATGTTCGTAAACTGTAGCTTCAGTCTTGGGAGTGCATTTCACAATTGCAGAACGGCAGTGTTCTGGCTGATTACTGCTGGGCATTTACTATTTATAAAGGGAGGGATGACACTTTAGACTGATGCCCACAAATAAAGGGCAGCATTAAAACTTCAAGTGCCAAGGCATTAAAATATCTGGTTGCCAGTAGTTAGGGTTACTAACTTCTGACGAAACAATCTCTGACCAGCTAGCGTATATCACAGAAAAATAATTTGACTGGAGTAACTATTGCTCTCCCTGAACATAGTGTAAATTCATTGCTTTGGGCTTTTAGTTAAGGCACCAGATTGGCACTTGGGAAATCTGATTTCAGCTCCCGGCTCTGTCTCAGACTCTCTGTGTAACTGTGGGCAAGTGTCTTTTTGCCTCAGTTCAATACCTGGAAAAATGGGGATCACAATCCTTCATTTTTCTGCCTTGTCTAGTTAGGCTCTTTGGGGCAGGGACTGGGTCTTACGGTTTGTTTGTACAGCCGGGCACAATGGGGCCTAATAGCAGTTGGGGCCCGTATGCACAGCTGTAATAGAAGCTAATATATAATAACTACCTGGACAAAAGAATGCCCTCCCATCCATGAAGAAACAGATGCATTGCATGTGTAGGACAGGGCAAAAATCTTTTCTGTCCATATTGGAGCCAAAATTTAATGCATTGCTAGTTGTTAAGGAACCCTTATATGTCATTCCATCTGGTATTTTTTCTCTGGGTAGCTCTGGTTTCACCTCTGAAGTCTAGCCATATTATTTGCTGTGTATTTTGGTGCCATCCCTGTAAAGATGTGCATTTCTACTGGCAAGAAAGTGAAGGATTAGCAATGGGCAGAGGTCAAGTCAGTCAGGACTTTAAACACGTAGTCGGTTGTAAAAAAGCTTACATTACTGGGAGCTCTTTGCCAGATCAGTACTTTGATGCCAAATGTTAATCCTTGCTGGGGACATGGTGGCTTGTGAATGTTATAAGAAAATATCGTTTTTCCTGTAGAAAACAGGCATTTATAGTTAAAAAAGGGGATTATTTTCCCATGCTCACATTTGCATTTCATACATACCTACCCTGCTTGAGCTCTGCTTCAGTGCTAATATTGAATCACATCTCTTATTTATTTCTATAACTAAAGGAAAAAAGCACGAGTTAGTGCTTAAAACACTGGGAGAGCTAGGGTCTAATTCCTGGCTGTGCTGGAGATTAACAAATGACCTTGGGCAATTCATTTTCACTTGTGTATTTCATTTTTCCTATCTGTAAAATGGGGATAACTACACAAAAGGGGTCCTGTGAGGCTGAACATGTTTGTGACTGTCAGAAGGAAGATGCTACTGGATGCACAAGCATTAGAGGTGCAATATAAAAAACCTCTACTTGCTGCTAGGAAATCCCTGGAAAGAGCTATCTGTCCACCTACCCATGTCAAAGTTTTCAAATAAACAAGTCAATACAAGATTCATAAATAAGTTGAGGCTAGATTGTCACAGTCCATTCTCAACCACACAGGGGACTAATTCCCTGCCTCACTCCTCTGCTTGGCTCTGCTAAGATTGTGGCTCTGGCCACAAGGGAGAAAGCAGGGCCTATTTTTGTGAAACTCTCCCTTGCAAGGAAGTAGGGAGGGAGGAGCAGAGAAGGGCAAAAAGTGACTTGCAAGCCAGATTAACGTCTTCGGTACCCAGTGTGGAGTGAGGTGCTCCACAGAATGTAATGAAATAAATGACTCCCCCCAGAATTAGAACCAGTGGGGAGCGGGGCAGGAATTGTGACTATTTGATTTGCTGCTTTGTCTGCTCCTGGGTGGTGCATCTATGCACTGCTTCTTACTCATTTTAGATTGGGAAGTTCTAGTCTGTAGGAAAGGATGGTCTTTTGCACTGGACTGGGACTTGGGAGATCTGGGATCATTTCTTGGCTCTGCCAGAATTCCCATGTGACCTTGAAAAAGTCACTTAGTTTCTCTGTGCCTCAGTTCCCCATCTGTATTATTTTACTTTACTCTCTGGCTTTATACACCTCACAGGTCCTTTGCCACTGTCACAATTTGCCCCCATGTCTTTCTGTCACCTCTTTTCCCTTTGAGGGTAATTCACATCAAGAGTTTTTAGGTCTTGCTCAATATTATTCCTCCATCTTCTCCTTGGTAAGCCACCATAAGGAGGTCTTTCCAAGAGATGCTTACCAGTCTGTCTTCTGTCATCCTGGCCACAATCCCTGCCCACTGAAGTTGTTGGGATTTCACTAAATTTACTCTACTTGGCTCTCCATAGGTCTCCTGCAGTTCTCTCTTAGATCTTCTTCTCCACACTTGCTGTATTTGGGGATAATAATACTTCCTCACCTCCCAGTGAGGATAAGTCCATTAGCATTTTTGAGGTCCTATGGTGACAGAACCATGTAAGTCCCTAGACAGATAAATCTGATGACACAGAGTCCACAAAAATAATAGAACCAATTCAGCTTGGGGAAACCTGAGCTCCTAGGATTCACACCACATGCAGTTGGCAGCTATAAAGTTATAATACCCAAGTACAAGAAGGATTCAATATGCTTTTCTATGGCAGCGAATAAGTCTGGTATGCTGCATGGTACTAAGTTCTAAACAGTGTGGGTTTGGTTTTGTTATGCAGATGTATTTGTTCCCCTCTTCTCCCTTTGAAATGTTTTGAATTAAAATAGCTTACTCAAGGTCAGCGAAGGCATATGGTCCTGCTCAAAACTTTAAACAAAACATTAGTTTTTACAACCTTTTGTAATTTGGTATTGTATACAACATGGTTATAGATGGAGTTTCTGTAATCTTTGCAGTGGGTGACAGAAATATGAGAGCCAAATTTATAAGCCATTTAGTGAAGCATTTAATCAATTTCATGCATAGGAAATACTCTGATTGCTTTGCTTTATCAATCTTCCTTTCC